GCAGTCTGGTTAAACCGGCCGTTGGTGACAAGCGTTAAATTTAATAGATGTCTGTATGCTCGTTTGAATTCGCTTGCATTTCGTTTGGCTTAAATGAAATTGTAAAATTTCAAAAATATAAAATAACTAACGGAAAAAATCGTTTTCAACCGTTATTAAAACGTAACTTTTATAACGTGTTATTTTTAATTATTTGACACCATCTCTATTTAACTAGTTCTACAGTACTACAGTATTTATTATGATAAAATTCGTTTTAGCAACAAACTAAATCGAACTTTATGCAAGCAACTTTAGATCTCATTGATCTGCACTGGTGCCAATCTTTTTCTACCTACACAAGTGATGTTTTTGTATATGTACTTTAGATTAAATAATTGTTTCTAATATTCCTACACACTCTACTTGTAAATAATATATTCATAAACTGCGTTTCTAAACCCGTACTTTACATTTTTTTTATTATTATACTTTAAATTTCGTAACTTATCGAGTTTTTTGATCGGAAGAAATGAGCAAAACAATTTTGTGCTTTTTTTTAATATATGTTTATTTTATACATTTTAAATAATCAGTACTTTTTTATGCTACTGGATTTTGTGTTTTATCAACACATATAACAAATTATCAAAGTATTTAAACATTTTTTTTTGACGTGACAACGTCTTAAATTAGGTTGCGGCTGGGAGTCACTTATGAAAAAGTGTAACGCTCGGTAACGTTACGATGAGTTTAAGTTTACATGTACAATGTTTTAGTAAACAAAATATATTTCTATAGTTAAAATTTGTGCAATTCTTATTTTCATTCAATTCCTTGTTCCTATTGTGCAATTTAATTATATTCATATCAATAAATATTCTACCGAGAAAAAGACGTTGTCACGTAAAATCTTCGCCCGTAAAACCGACTTTACAGGCAACCATTTTTTTTATTAGTGATTAAGCTTCCTTAAATATTTGTTGTCTTTTTAGGATTTTTCTCGAATTGTGTGGTTACGAATAAAATATTAGTGATTAATGAAAAAAGATGCCATAATCATAATAAGTGTGTTATGCTTTTCTATACATAGTATGAAAGAATAGTATTTGTGCAGTATTGTATTGTCCGTCGAATAGCGAATTAGGAGCGATGAAACGAAAAATTAACTTCATCGATTTTTATATTTTTTTGACATTATTACAGATTTGTAGAAAAATATTTTCTATAGGTATATAATTTTGATTTATTTTCGTTTCGTTGTGTTGCGTATTTATGTTTTTAGTATTTACAGTTTGTTTTTTTTTATTTAATATTTTTCACATTGTTTTCTAAACTCCAATGTTAACTAATAAATAAATGTTGCTTTCTCTATTATACTTTGTCGTTGTCTCAATTTTATTTTTTTCTATTTGTGTTTCTAAATGTACTGGTCTATGTGGTAGTCATTTATTGAATTATCATCTCTTTATCTAAACATAACACTATGATCAACAACGATACAATCAAAACATCTTAGTGATATCACATCATCCACATGCACTTGTTTTAGACAGTCATGCGTGAAGTTACACAAAACTGAAATATGTATTTTAATAGCTTTGAAATACGATCCTGATATACTTTTACAGTTTGTGGTAACTTGATATGTTTATTTACATAGAACTATTGAAATTACAAAAGTTTAAAACTATTTAATGTCTAAAAACTTAGAATCAGAATTATCTTAAAACTTACCTATTGTCTGTACATTTTTAATTACAAAAAAAGATTATAATTTCTCAATTTTTTAAACAGTACTGTCACTGTACTCCGCGTAAAAAAATGTTGAGTGTGTATGTTGTCCATCGTGATACACAGTACAAGATCAGTAGGTACACCATCTTTTCTTCTGTAAACAGAAAATAATAACGTATAAAATAACGTTTTTAGCATATAAAAATAACGTTACGTTATAACGTTTTCAACATTTGGCAAATCGACTACATTCAAGCAACAATTAAACCACAATATTTTCAACTGGTTCATAGTTAATATTAGTTCGAAAAATAGTAAATAATAACATCACGAAGAAATTAATCCACTATTTAATTTAGTAAGTGCTAAAATTCACCTACATTTTTGTATGATTAACAATATGTTTTGAAGAAGCCTGTAAATAATCGCTATTTTTGAACAGCTGTAGTATTATCTTATTACGATATTATAAATTACTAATAAACATTTATCTATATATTTCAGATACTATACCACATTATGAATAATTAATCAAGTTGGGATGTACAGGATTGAATCGGACAAAACATAACATATAACCGTGTAATTTAATTAGATAAACGTTAATGTAATTTTGTTAATTAAATTTATTTATGAATCGTTCTTTTGTTGTTTTTTTTTTCTTTATAATTTATAAGCACTTATTTATATATTAAATAAAAATAACGTTATTTCTAAAGTAAGAACGCTACTTTAGAAATAACATTATTTCTAAAGTAAGAACTCCACTTTAGAAATAACATTATTTCTAAAGTAAGAACTCCACTTTAGAAATAACGTTATTTCTAAAGTAAGAACTCTACTTTAGAAATAACGTTATTTTTATTTAATATATAAATATAATGTTATTTAGCTGTTCTTTTGCACCACTATAATGAAAGTATTAAACGACCTCCGTGGCAGAGTGGTTTGTACGCCGGGTTTCATGGTGTCGCCGACTCGAGAGGTCCCGGGTTCAAATCCCGGTGGGGGCAGATGTTTGTGTGATGAATACGAACATTTGTACTCCAGTCATGGATGTTTAATATGAATTTCTATAAAAACAAAAATACTTATATATGTACTGTACATATATGTATTCTATCCATTACCCTAGCATCCCATAACACAAGCCTTATAGTGCTTACTTTGGGGCTAGGCTAATTGGTGTGAGTGTTGGAAATATTTATTTATTATTTATTTTATGTTATATTTCAATCTATAATTTTATTGTGTAATAGTACCTGCATATTTTTAAATTCATTATTTTGTCACAAAGTTTTTCATTAATCTTTATCATATTGCATTACATTTGAGGAGCTGGCGAACAAAACTATAAGATTACGCATCTGGTCAAACTATTTTTTTTTACAGTCCGGAGGTTTCGAGTCCATTGAATTTGAATCTCAAATAATTTTCAATCAAAATAGGCTTGTTGAAAATATATCGATATTTTTTGTTCGATATATCGATATTTTTAGCCTATATATTTTAATTGGATATATCGATTCATCGATACAAAATAACCAATATCGAAATTCGTATCAAAAACGATATTTTTTTAATTATTAGCGGCATATCACAATCTAACTAAATTCGTATCTGGAAAAATCGTAACTGGATCTCAGATTAATGATATTTAACATATCTATGATCTGTGCTGTATTTTGTATTGTCTATGATTTGTACATCTGTTTCGCTGGTGAATTGGTTGTGATGAATTCCATTATATTCTGTGGAAGTCTGTGACTGTCCATTCTTGTTGACGAAAGATGGCACCTGAGAGGCCCTGCAATCATTTTCATCATTCGAAAATAGGGTCTATTTTTAGGGGAGATAATTTTCGTTCCATTATTATTCCGCGTGTCATCTTTCGTGAGATACTATACTGTCATGTAGTATAGCGGCAATTTGATACTTTGATAATTCTTTCTTTAATTATAATTTGTGTTGTTATTATAACTGTGCTAGGCTGACTGTGCTACATATATTTTTGGGTAAATTGGTCCGATATATCGATATGTCGATGTTTTTTTCGCGATATATCGGAAACCGATATTGATATTTTTTAAAATATCGATATTTTTTTCAACTTTCGGCATCCCTAAATCAAAACCACCTAAAGCAGTGTTTTAATTACTAAATTTATAAATTAAAAACCATGCCAAAACCTCACCGTAGGTATGTCATTCAGTTTTAAACAGCGCCTGTAGAATTTAATTTTATGTGATTATGCCGTTTTGTTCGCCAGCTCCTCATATAAGATTGTTATTTAAAATGTTATGTCAGATTCCAAATCCCAGCTGAGGTAGGACATCATGCTTTTTAAAGTTTCAGTTCCATCGTGGTTGCATTAAACCATTTTTTATTAATAGTCTCATTGACTTGAAACAATAAAAGGTCCTAAACATTTGATAATGGCGTCTTAAAAGATATAGAAATAAAACCTATGACCGGCTTTATCGGCACTCCTGGCAACGCTAGCTAAGTCCGCAAAGATAAATATTAATACCGTGAATATTTAATGTTTAATGTCGGTTCTTTTAAAATAACCTTTTTGTAACCTCCAACGGAAAAAGAGCCCTCTCTTCCGGTTATAAGTTTGACGTGTCTGTGTGTCTGTCTGTGGCATCGTAGATACTAAACGAATGGATCGATTTGGACCCGGTCTGAAATGATATGTTTAGAAAACTTTTCAGCGAGTTTTAAAATGTATTTTTAATAGCTTTTGTACATATGTACAAGGTTAGAACTGCTGTATCAGCTATCTTCGCGTCTGGACTTCACCTTCACTTAACATCAGGTGGGGTGGAGTCATTTGTCGGATCTATCTATAAAAAAAAAAAAAAGTATCTCTACGTTTCGCATTTGGTTTCGTTCAAAGGTAGTTTTGTTTATCAATAAATAAATTAATAAATATTTCCAACACACACACCAATAGCCTAGCCCCAAAGTAAGCACTGTAAGGCTTGTGTTATGGGATACTAGGGTAACGGATAGAATACATATACAGAACATATATAAGTATATTTATATAGAAATACATATTAAACATCCATGACTGGAGTACAAACGCTCGTATTCATCACACAAACATCCTACCGGGATTGGAACCCGGGACCTCTCGAGTCGGCGTCACCATGATCGTACAAACCTGGCGTACAAACCACTCGCCCACGGAGGTCGTCGATATAAGAATGATTACTTTATTGTACACCATGAAATTTTAAATTACAATTAATTTAGACTATAACATAATAGGAGAAATGACGCCCTTATCGGTAAGAAGCAATTTCTTCCAGGCAACCGTATGTTAACTGGACTGTTACATAGAGAATGGGAAGTAGATGGTGTCATTTAAAGTGAAATTACCATTAATTGACGACCTCCGTGGCCGAGTGGTTTGTACGCCGGGTTTCATGGTGTCGCCGACTCGAGAGGTCCCGGGTTCGAATCCCGGTGGGGGCTGATGTTTGTGTGATGAACACGAGCATCTGTACTCCAGTCATGGATGTTCAATATGTATTTAATATACTTATATGTATCAGTATATGTATTCTATCCGTTACCCTAGTATCCCATAACACAAGCCTTACAGTGCTTACTTTGGGGCTAGGCTAATTGGTGTGAGTGTTGGAAATATTTATTTATTGAAGTTATACTTCTTTAGGCGCGTTATGAAAAAATGATGAGAGTGAAATTTTAAGATGCGCGCGCATTACTGTAACACAAAAAATTAACAGCATGAAGTTGGTCGCTTTAGCGACCTTTGCGATGCTGTTACTTTTGTGTTTACCGCACATTAAGAAAATCTACTATCAAAATAGAAATAGAATCTCTATTTAGTGGGTGCTAACGACTGCATTGTGAAGGCCTATCAAAAGTATTTATTAATCTGGAACAACGGAACCAAAGCGCGATTCAGGAGACTACAGCGCCATCTCTTGACCATTGGTGTAGTAGAACCAAAAACCACATCTTTATTTTTTGTAATAAAGTAACAGTTATAGGTATTCATATTTATAATATTTATCCACATGTTTCTAGTTTGTATATTCGGAATACGTGTTTGAGTTTCATACAAGTGCAAATCACATATGTTCTAATAAATTATATTCAGTAGCGATTTTAACTGAATATTTTGATTATTTATTTATTTTTTCAAATTAAAACTGAACTTTATTGACTGTGTCCTTTTCCAGACTTTTTATTAATTTATTGTAATTAATTATTTGCATGCAATTAAAAACTAATTTTAAACGATGCCAAAGAAGGATAACTTCTCACGCGCCTACATAAGTACACGCACCCATTTTTTTTATTTAATTATACTTATAAATCATTATGAATGAATAATTTATATTCTTATCATAATAATTTATTTAATGAGTGGCTGTGCCTTAAGACATAAGAAATACGTATGATTAGAAAAGATATTGTTTTAAAAGCAAAATTTTCTATCTATTGATTTTGCTCTGTAACTTATTGTAGGCGTTATACAGGCAGTACAAAACAATGAGACCGCTGATTTTATTGGGTTATTTATTGTGTATTGAAAATACAATTGATTTAAAATAAAAGTTATCTCTCAATAAACAAATAACAAAATGTAGTTATTGATGATAATTAAATACTAATTCACGTACGTGTAAAAATACTTAGTTAAAGTGATTTAATGTGTATTGTGTTGTGCTGATGGTAATGCAAAGCAATTTCATCATCACCATCAGTCTATTAATGTCCCCACTGCTGGGGCACAGGCCTTCTCTATGGATGGAATAGGGAGATTGGGCCATGACCCACCATGCGGGCCCAGTGCGGATTGGCGGGTGCTAACGACTGCAGATGCAGCCGGGACCAACGGCTTAACGTGCCTTCCGAAGCACGGAGGAGCTCGAGATAGTAATTTTTGGTCACCCATCCAATGACCGACCACTGCGAAAGTTGCTTAAGTTCAACGATCGCAGCCGAACGCGCTAACCACTAGCGCCATCGAGCTCCTCAATATAATTTCATACGATAAAGAAATTATTTCGTAACATAGAAAGAAAGTTTAAAAAAAATATCTTTTCTTTTTTTTTCCAGGTACTGCAGTCGGCCAAAGAGCAGCTAAAATGGTCCCTTTTGAAATAAGTTTTATTTTTCTTAAATTCCATTGTATATGTAATTATAACTTTAAAATATAGTGTTTTATTTAAATAAAGCATGTGTTTTATTTAAAGCTACCTTCCGTCCGCGACTACGACCACATGATAGCATACCTAGTTCGTTTTTAAGGAATCTTACAGGAACCTAACCTTTTACCGGGATGAATAGTATTCTATGTCACAATCCAGCTAACAAAACTATATGTTTAAATCTAAAGAAAAGTTTACTAGAAAAAAAATCCACGCGGACCAGGCAGCGGACGGGACTCGAACCCGCACCTTTCGCAATCCGGGCGAATGCACTGACTTTAGATTTAAACATCTAGCAGTTAAATGCTTAAAAAATAAATAAAAACATAACTATAATTGCTATTTCTTCTTTCAAATGTTTAATACTTGAAAAAGTATTCATTTGGCTGGGTGGGTTACCTACAATGCGAAGAGATGGCGCTGCCTTGCTGCTTAAGGCTAGGAAAATTTCGACGCGGCGAATAGGGCCGTGGTAGCATAATGGTCAGTGCATTCGCCCGGATAGCGAGGGATGCGGGTTCGAGTCCCGTCCGCTGCCTGGTCCGCGTGGATATTTTTCTATTAAACTTTTCTTTAGATTTAAACATCTAGCAGTTAAATGCTTAAAAAATAAATAAAAACAAAACTATATGTGTGCCAAATTTCATCGAAATCCGTTCAGCGATTTAGTTGTTACTTAATCAAACAAACAAACTTTCACACTTATAATATTACTAGCTCACGCAGCTGACTTCGTTCGCATTAACTTTAGTTTTTTGGGAATACTACATGAACCTAACATATTTTCGGAATAAAAAGTCCTATATAGTACAGTCAATCTGTCGAAAAAAATATCGTTTCAGTGAAAAAAAAACCTAAAGGGTAAGTCTTGTTTTTTCTGTTGCCAAATGACGTCAGTAAGCCACCTTGGCGATGGGCATGTTCAACTCGTAGGCGTTGTTTGAAAAACTCAAAAAAACCGTCAGAAATTTTTTGAAACGCATTTTTCTTGTTTTGTATGCGTTTTAGAAACTTTTTTTTCGACCATAATTGTAGAGGGCGTTGAGTGCTACAATTTATGTCATTGTTACAATCTCGTACAATAAAAAATGCGCATTGTAGGTGACGCTAAAGTCTCAAAAACAGTGTTTTTTCACTTTTTCACCCTGAAAATATCATTTTAATGGAAAACTTTAAATGGCAAAGTTGTTTCGTACATAATAACCAACAACTTGTGTATAAACAATGTTTTTGTATTACTTACCGTTTGAAAACGGTTTAATAACAATTATAACCGCAATTTATAACTTGAAAGTTATAAATTGCGCAGGTATGAAAATTCCAATAGAGCGGTTTTGGGCAGTTCAAGTACACATTTGCAGTGCACATTTCAATGTACGTTTTACTATTTTTTATTTTTTTTCATGATTGAAAAACAAAAAAATAATAAAAAAGAATAGATTTATTTTTATTTTTTTTCATTATTGAAAAAAAAAATAGTAAAAACGTACATTGAAATGTGCACTGCAAATGTGTACTTGAACTGCCCAAAACCGCTCTATTGGATTTTTCATACCTGCGCAATTTATAACTTGAAAACGGTAAGTAATACAAAAAAATTGTTTATACAAAAGTTGTTGGTAATTATGTACGAAACAACTTAGCCATTTAAAGTTTTCCATTAAAAAAAGTAAAAACTTCACAGTTTTGTTGGTTGTAATTTCGCATTTTTGTTGTTAAAAAGGTTTCTGTTAACCACATTATTAAAAAAAATGTCACACTTATGCACTGGTAGTTTTTTGAAAAAAAATATTGAAAATTTTTACTTTTCTTATCAAGTGGTGATACTTCACACTAGGTTAGGTTAGGTTAGTGTTGTGACCATAACGCGCGAGCCGAGCGAGCAAAGCGAGCGTGCCGCGGCAGCGGCCGGCGAAGCGCCAAAAAAAATCTGTTAAAAAGACCTTTTCTACAAAAAAAAACAAGTATCACCTTTTGGGCCCTGGAAGTACAGTTTTACCGAAATCTAATCTAATCTATTAATTTCAATTATTTCCAGTTTATAAGAATATAATTTTTTTAACCAACATTATATAAATACCTTAATTAAAATTACCCAATTTAACATTTCAGGAACCCACACTATACATAGTAAAGGGTATGTGCATACTCGACAGTGACGGGAACAGAATTCTGGCCAAATACTACGACAAGGATGTGCTCACAACAGCAAAAGAACAAAAGGCTTTTGAAAAAAAAATCTGTTAAAAAGACCTTTTCTACAAAAAAAAACAAGTATCACCTTTTGGGCCCTGGAAGTACAGTTTTACCGAAATCTAATCTAATCTATTAATTTCAATTATTTCCAGTTTATAAGAATATAATTTTTTTAACCAACATTATATAAATACCTTAATTAAAATTACCCAATTTAACATTTCAGGAACCCACACTATACATAGTAAAGGGTATGTGCATACTCGACAGTGACGGGAACAGAATTCTGGCCAAATACTACGACAAGGATGTGCTCACAACAGCAAAAGAACAAAAGGCTTTTGAAAAAAACCTATTCAACAAGACACACAGGTGATTCACCCTCTATTTCAATTCATTTGATTAGTACAGAAAATATGAGGAGCCGGCAAAGGGAAATAAATACCTATCTCATGAAAATACTCTTTTTTTTACAGTCTAGAAGTTCTGGGTCTGCCGAATTAGAATATATTTATTTTTTTATTATTTCTTTTTCGTGAGAACTAAGTACAAACACTTATTTCTATTCTGCCAAACTGTGCAACAGTTTGTCGGCAGTAGCTCTCGAGGACGTTGCATAATTATTTTTGTACTTATCTCAATATATTTATAAATAGGTACCTTAAATATAAAATGGAAAATATTTAAATGATCCTAAAAAATACTCAGTTAATGATCACCAAACAAACACAGCTGGTAACCTAAGACTTAGGTAAACTTTAGCAATGTCCGCAACCTCAAACCCCTGAAGATTAACCACTATTCTGTCGATGATCATTCAAACATGTGCCATCGCAATTTTCAATCATAACTGCTAAAAACAGTGTTAAAATCAATAAATTAATAACCATGGCCAAAGCTCACTGTACGTGTGTCTGTAAATATATTTATTAAAATCCTACCAATCAGCCCAATCCCCAAGTATGCACTGCAAGTATGCACTTGTTTAGCTAGCAAGTTATCAAAGTGCCATTCTATTTGTTGCAGAGCCAATGCCGAGATCATAATGTTGGAAGGTCTGACTTGTGTCTATAAGAGCAATGTGGATCTGTTTTTCTACGTTATGGGCAGCTCACATGAGAATGAGGTAAGTAGTGTGTTAAATGTTTGAAAAAAACAGCAATAGGCTAGTTGATAAGTTTTTGAAAACTTTCATACATTATTGATTACCCAAGTAACTCATACATTACTTTTTCATAAATTTACTGAGATGCAACTGTCACTATATTGATTTCTTAAATTTTTCTCTTAAAGAGACTCTAGTGTTAAGATTGTAAGTTAATCGAACAGCCTGCTTCTGCAGCACAAAAATAGTTTGAATGTCGGCAGAATTGAACTGCTAGATGTTTAAATCTAAAGAAAATTTAACATTCATTTGTCATTGTGGGTTACCTACAATGCGAAGAGATGACGCTGCCTTGCAGCCTAAGAAAGGCTAGAGAAAACTCGACACGACTATCAGTGCCGCGGTAGCATAATGGTCATTGCATCCGTCCCATAGCGAAGGGTGCGAGTTAGCATCCCGAAGATAAAATTCCATGCGAAAATTTTCTTTAGAAACAAACATTCTTTTACAGCTCATTCTACAATCTGTGCTGAACGCTTTGTATGAGTCTGTCAGCATATTGCTCCGGAGAAATGTTGAGAAGAGAGTCCTTCTTGAAAACCTGGATGCTGTAATGTTGGCCTTCGATGAGATATGTGATGGAGGGTAAGTCTCCATTTGTAATAACAAAACATACTGTCATATATACATTTAATACAAACCTAGCACCGTTACTTTTTTATTGTACTTTGTGTTGAATTATTAAAGAAAAAGTAAATTTTCGTGATTTTACTTTCATTTAAAATGCTATGTTATTTAGGAAATATAATCCTTATGATTTACCCTTTCGACGGTTGTCATAAAATACATGACTGTGTTTCACGTTTCACGAGTTCGATTCCCGATTTTGGCAGGCGATATAAAAAAAACTGTAAATGCAGTTCTTCTTATTATTAAAAATAGAATGATGTCTCCCTTCAGTAAAATATCCGAACTTCAATATTTAATATAATTTCCCTCCGTGTGACAAAACCGTGGGACGCTCTGTATATTGAAAAGGGTATTTTACTGAAAGAAGACATGACTTTATTTTTAATAATGACTAGAATTGTAAACACATTTTTTTTTAAATTGTTTTAATACTAAAATAAATTTGAAAAAGATTTTCAAAAAAGTAGAGGTATAGCATTCTTATTCATTTTATCTGTGTATCTGTCTGTCCTGTATTCACGCTATTCACACCACGGATTATGTCAAATTAATAAAACAAAATATTTCTTATAATTTTTATTTTGCAACTAACTGCTCGATGTTGAAATTTTCTTTAGATTTAAAATATTTCTTTCATTCGTCCAACAGTGTAATCTTAGACTCTGACCCTGGCTCCGTAGTAGCCCGAGCTGCCCTGAGACCGGACGACGTGCCTCTCGCCGAACAAACCGTGGCTCAGGTAATGGACCATATCAATAAGGTGTTCTGGTAGCTCGTTACATTATAAGACACACACACAAACAGTACACTCTATATTATATATCTGTTCAACTTCCTCTGAGACAAACGCTGGCCGAACCATAATTAGATTTTTCAATAGCTCGAATATTATAAAAAAACACACATCAAAAGTGAGACTTCTTTTCTTAGATAACCTAAAATTAGGTGGTGCATAAGGCATAGGGGAATGGTGCAGCGCGCGCATCACTCATATATGTATATGCATATCTTTATATATATAATTCTTCTGTGAGTGTGTATGTCACTGAACTTCTCTTAAACGACTGGACCGATTTTGGTGAAATTTTTCGTGTGTGTTCAAGGGGATCTGAGAATAGTTTAGATTCACAATTTTGTCCGCTGGACAACCCCTATTTTTTTAGGGCGGTACGAAGTTCGTTGGGTCAGCTAGTATATGTATATGCATATATATATATACTAGCGGACCCGACAGACGTTGTCCTGTCTACACGTCTTTGTGAATCTAAACCATTCTCAGATCCCCTTGAACACACACAAAAAATTTCATCAAAATCAGTCCAGTCGTTTAAGAGAAGTTCAGTGACATACACACTCACAGAAGAATTATATATATAAAGATATATATATATTATTGACGCTCGTAGAGTTTCAGCCTTCGCCGAGATACCCTCCAACTTACATGCACGTCGGGAAGAGCTGCGCACATATACATACACACACATACAGATCCTATATATACAGGGTGTAAAAAATCCTTTAACGAAGTCGAAAGTCACGTATTTTCCATATTATGACGATCATTTTTTTCTTCTGGACCATAACCTAGGAAATTTATGGTTATGGAGATATTGAAGGTCAAAGTCACGATTTTTTTTTTCAAGATTTATACAGTAATATTTTCAAACGTTATTTAGAAACTTTTTTATCGACGCATTTACCTACACGCACACACATACACACAGGCACATTCTTTGCCTAGCGCGCTATACATTGCGTAGAAAAAAAAAAAAAAATTTATCTTAAAAAAACAAATGATTCCCGCGTATAATATTTTGTAATATGACTTGTTTGGGCGTACAGAATGCGTAGTTTAAGTCTTTGTCATAGGTTTTTTTACATCCTGTATATGAATGGAAAAATATATTTCCATTTACTTACTTCAAAAAGACCTAAATTTGTAGCTATTCCCAAACTTTGAACGCATTATAATAATACTAAATTGAAGAGTAGTGATACAGCAAATAATTTACGTTGAAATGTGAAATTTTGATAGCAGTCTGGTTAAACCGGCCGTTGGTGACAAGCGTTAAATTTAATAGATGTCTGTATGCTCGTTTGAATTCGCTTGCATTTCGTTTGGCTTAAATGAAATTGTAAAATTTCAAAAATATAAAATAACTAACGGAAAAAATCGTTTTCAACCGTTATTAAAACGTAACTTTTATAACGTGTTATTTTTAATTATTTGACACCATCTCTATTTAACTAGTTCTACAGTACTACAGTATTTATTATGATAAAATTCGTTTTAGCAACAAACTAAATCGAACTTTATGCAAGCAACTTTAGATCTCATTGATCTGCACTGGTGCCAATCTTTTTCTACCTACACAAGTGATGTTTTTGTATCTGTACTTTAGATTAAATAATTGTTTCTAATACTCCTACACACTCTACTTGTAAATAATATATTCATAAACTGCGTTTCTAAACCCGTACTTTACATTTTTTTTATTATTATACTTTAAATTTCGTAACTTATCGAGTTTTTTGATCGGAAGAAATGAGCAAAACAATTTTTTTTAATATATGTTTATTTTATACATTTTAAATAATCAGTACTTTTTTATGCTACTGGATTTTGTGTTTTATCAACACATAACAAATTATCATAGTATTTAAACATTTTTTTTATTAGTGATTAAGCTTCCTTAAATATTTGTTGTCTTTTTAGGATTTTTCTCGAATTGTGTGGTTACGAATAAAATATTAGTGATTAATGAAAAAAGATGCCATAATCATAATAAGTGTGTTATGCTTTTCTATACATAGTATGAAAGAATAGTATTTGTGCAGTATTGTATTGTCCGTCGAATAGCGAATTAGGAGCGATGAAACGAAAAATTAACTTCATCGATTTTTATATTTTTTTGACATTATTATAGATTTGTAGAAAAATATTTTCTATAGGTATATAATTTTGATTTATTTTCGTTTCGTTGTGTTGCGTATTTATGTTTTTAGTATTTACAGTTTGTTTTTTTTTTATTTAATATTTTTCACATTGTTTTCTAAACTCCAATGTTAACTAATAAATAAATGTTGCTTTCTCTATTATACTTTGTCGTTGTCTCAATTTTATTTTTTTCTATTTGTGTTTCTAAATGTACTGGTCTATGTGGTAGTCATTTATTGAATTATCATCTCTTTATCTAAACATAACACTATGATCAACAACGATACAATTAAAACATCTTAGTGATATCACATCATCCACATGCACTTGTTTTAGACAGTCATGCGTGAAGTTACACAAAACTGAAATATGTATTTTAATAGCTTTGAAATACGATCCTGATATACTTTTACAGTTTGTGGTAACTTGATATGTTTCTTTACATAGAACTATTGAAATTACAAAAGTTTAAACTATTTAATGTCTAAAAACTTAGAATCAGAATTATCTTAAAACTTACTTATTGTCTGTACATTTTTAATTACAAAAAAAGATTATAATTTCTCAATTTTTTAAACAGTACTGTCACTGTACTCTGCGTAAAAAAATGTTGACTGTGTATGTTGTCCGTCGTGATACACATTACAAGATCAATAGGTACACCATCTTTTCTTCTGTAAGCAGAAAATAATAACGTATAAAATAGCGTTTTTAGCATATAAAAATAACGTTACGTTATAAAGTTTTCAACATTTGGCAAATCGACTACATTCAAGCAACAATTAAACCACAATATTTTCAACTGGTTCATAGTTAATATTAGTTCGAAAAATAGTAAATAATAACATCACGAAGAAATTAATCCACTATTTAATTTAGTAAGTGCTAAAATTCACCTACATTTTTGTATGATTAACAATATGTTTTGAAGAAGCCTGTAAATAATCGCTATTTTTGAACAGCTGTAGTATTATCTTATTACGATATTATAAATTACTAATAAACATTTATCTATATATTTCAGATACTATACCACATTATGAATAATTAATCAAGTTGGGATGTACAGGATTGAATCGGACAAAACATAACATATAACCGTGTAATTTAATTAGATAAACGTTAATGTAATTTTGTTAATTAAATTTATTTATGAATCGTTCTTTTGTTGTTTTTTTTTTTCTTTATAATTTATAAGCACTTATTTATATATTAAATAAAAATAACGTTATTTCTAAAGTAAGAACGCTACTTTAGAAATAACATTATTTCTAAAGTAAGAACTCCACTTTAGAAATAACGTTATTTCTAAAGTAAGAACTCTACTTTAGAAATAACGTTATTTTTATTTAATATATAAATATAATGTTATTTAGCTGTTCTTTTGCACCACTATAATGAAAGTATTAAACGACCTCCGTGGCAGAGTGGTTTGTACGCCGGGTTTCATGGTGTCGCCGACTCGAGAGGTCCCGGGTTCAAATCCCAGTGGGGGCAGATGTTTGTGTGATGAATACGAACATTTGTACTCCAGTCATGGATGTTTAATATGAATTTCTATAAAAACAAAAATACTTATATATGTACTGTACATATATGTATTCTATCCATTACCCTAGCATCCCATAACACAAGCCTTATAGTGCTTACTTTGGGGCTAGGCTAATTGGTGTGAGTGTTGGAAATATTTATTTATTTTATGTTATATTTCAATCTATAATTTTATTGTGTAATAGTACCTGCATATTTTTAAATTCATTATTTTGTCACAAAGTTTTTAATTAATCTTTATCATATTGCATTACATTTGAGGAGCTGGCGAACAAAACTATAAGATTACGCATCTGGTCAAACTATTTTTTTTTTACAGTCCGGAGGTTTCGAGTCCATTGAATTTGAATCTCAAATAATTTTCAATCAAAATAGGCTTGTTGAAAATATATCGATATTTTTTGTTCGATATATCGATATTTTTAGCCTATATATTTTAATTGGATATATCGATTCATCGATACAAAATAACCAATATCGAAATTCGTATCAAAAACGATATTTTTTTAATTATTAGCGGCATATCACAATCTAACTAAATTCGTATCTGGAAAAATCGTAACTGGATCTCAGATTAAAGATATTTAACATATCTATGATCTGTGCTGTATTTTGTATTGTCTATGATTTGTACATCTGTTTCGCTGGTGAATTGGTTGTGATGAATTCCATTATATTCTGTGGAAGTCTGTGACTGTCCATTCTTGTTGACGAAAGATGGCACCTGAGAGGCCCTGCAATCATTTTCATCATTCGAAAATAGGGTCTATTTTTAGGGGAGATAATTTTCGTTCCATTATTATTCCGCGTGTCATCTTTCGTGAGATACTATACTGTCATGTAGTATAGCGGCAATTTGATACTTTGATAATTCTTTCTTTAATTATAATTTGTGTTGTTATTATAACTGTGCTAGGCTGACTGTGCTACATATATTTTTGGGTAAATTGGTCCGATATATCGATATGTCGATGTTTTTTTCGCGATATATCGGAAACCGATATTGATATTTTTTAAAATATCGATATTTTTTTCAACTTTCGGCATCCCTAAATCAAAACCACCTAAAGCAGTGTTTTAATTACTAAATTTATAAATTAAAAACCATGCCAAAACCTCACCGTAGGTATGTCATTCAGTTTTAAACAGCGCCTGTAGAATTTAATTTTATGTGATTATGCCGTTTTGTTCGCCAGCTCCTCATATAAGATTGTTATTTAAAATGTTATGTCAGGTTCCAAATCCCAGCTGAGGTAGGACATCATGCTTTTTAAAGTTTCAGTTCCATCGTGGTTGCATTAAACCATTTTTTATTAATAGTCTCATTGACTTGAAACAATAAAAGGTCCTAAACATTTGATAATGGCGTCTTAAAAGATATAGAAATAAAACCTATGACCGGCTTTATCGGCACTCCTGGCAACGCTAGCTAAGTCCGCAAAGATAAATATTAATACCGTGAATATTTAATGTTTAATGTCGGTTCTTTTAAAATAACCTTTTTGTAACCTCCAACGGAAAAAGAGCCCTCTCTTCTGGTTATAAGTTTGACGTGTCTGTGTGTCTGTCTGTGGCATCGTAGATACTAAACGAATGGATCGATTTGGACCCGGTCTGAAATGATATGTTTAGAAAACTTTTCAGCGAGTTTTAAAATGTATTTTTAATAGCTTTTGTACATATGTACAAGGTTAGAACTGCTGTATCAGCTATCTTCGCGTCTGGACTTCACCTTCACTTAACATCAGGTGGGGTGGAGTCATTTGTCGGATCTATCTATAAAAAAAAAAAAAAAAGTATCTCTACGTTTCGCATTTGGTTTCGTTCAAAGGTAGTTTTGTTTATCAATAAATTAATTAATAAATATTTCCAACACACACACCAATAGCCTAGCCCCAAAGTAAGCACTGTAAGGCTTGTGTTATGGGATACTAGGGTAACGGATAGAATACATATACAGTACATATATAAGTATATTTATATAGAAATACATATTAAACATCCATGACTGGAGTACAAATGCTCGTATTCATCACACAAACATCCTACCGGGATTGGAACCCGGGACCTCTCGAGTCGGCGTCACCATGATCGTACAAACCCGGCGTACAAACCACTCGTCCACGGAGGTCTTAGATGAATGACTGATTGACTTTATTGTACACCATGAAATTTTAAATTACAATTAATTTAGACTATAACATAATAGGAGAAATGACGCCCTTATCGGTAAGAAGCAATTTCTTCCAGGCAACCGTATGTTAACTGGACTGTTACATAGAGAATGGGAAGTAGATGGTGTCATTTAAAGTGAAATTACCATTAATTGACGACCTCCGTGGCCGAGTGGTTTGTACGCCGGGTTTCATGGTGTCGCCGACTCGAGAGGTCCCGGGTTCGAATCCCGGTGGGGGCTGATGTTTGTGTGATGAACACGAGCATCTGTACTCCAGTCATGGATGTTCAATATGTATTTAATATACTTATATGTATCAGTATATGTATTCTATCCGTTACCCTAGTATCCCATAACACAAGCCTTACAGTGCTTACTTTGGGGCTAGGCTAATTGGTGTGAGTGTTGGAAATATTTATTTATTGAAGTTATACTTCTTTAGGCGCGTTATGAAAAAATGATGAGAGTGAAATTTTAAGATGCGCGCGCATCACTGTAACACAAAAAATTAACAGCATGAAGTTGGTCGCTTTAGCGACCTTTGCGATGCTGTTACTTTTGTGTTTACCGCACATTAAGAAAATCTACTATCAAAATAGAAATAGAATCTCTATTTAGTGGGTGCTAACGACTGCATTGTGAAGGCCTATCAAAAGTATTTATTAATCTGGAACAACGGAACCAAAGCGCGATTCAGGAGACTACAGCGCCATCTCTTGACCATTGGTGTAGTAGAACCAAAAACCACATCTTTATTTTTTGTAATAAAGTAACAGTTATAGGTTTTATAATATTTATCCACATGTTTCTAGTTTGTATATTCGGAATACGTGTTTGAGTTTCATACAAGTGCAAATCACATATGTTCTAATAAATTATATTCAGTAGCGATTTTAACTGAATATTTTGATTATTTATTTATTTTTTCAAATTAAAACTGAACTTTATTGACTGTGTCCTTTTCCAGACTTTTTGTTAATTTATTGTAATTAATTATTTGCATGCAATTAAAAACTAATTTTAAACGATGCCAAAGAAGGATAACTTCTCACGCGCCTACATAAGTACACGCACCCATTTTTTTTATTTAATTATACTTATAAATCATTATGAATGAATAATTTATATTCTTAACATAATAATTTATTTAATGAGTGGCTGTGCCTTAAGACATAAGAAATACGTATGATTAGAAAAGATATTGTTTTAAAAGCAAAATTTTCTATCTATTGATTTTGCTCTGTAACTTATTGTAGGCGTTATACAGGCAGTACAAAACAATGAGACCGCTGATTTTATTGGGTTATTTATTGTGTATTGAAAATACAATTGATTTAAAATAAAAGTTATCTCTCAATAAACAAATAACAAAATGTAGTTATTGATGATAATTAAATACTAATTCACGTACGTGTAAAAATACTTAGTTAAAGTGATTTAATGTGTATTGTGTTGTGCTGATGGTAATGCAAAGCAATTTCATCATCACCATCAGCCTATTAATGTCCCCACTGCTGGGGCACAGGCCTTCTCTATGGATGGAATAGGGAGATTGGGCCATGACCCACCATGCGGGCCCAGTGCGGATTGGCGGGTGCTAACGACTGCAGATGCAGCCGGGACCAACGGCTTAACGTGCCTTCCGAAGCACGGAGGAGCTCGAGATAGTAATTTTTGGTCACCCATCCAATGACCGACCACTGCGAAAGTTGCTTAAGTTCAACGATCGCAGCCGAACGCACTAACCACTAGCGCCATCGAGCTCCTCAATATAATCTCATACGATAAAGAAATTATTTCGTAACATAGAAGGAAAGTTTAAAAAAAATATCTTTTCTTTTTTTTTCCAGGTACTGCAGTCGGCCAAAGAGCAGCTAAAATGGTCCCTTTTGAAATAAGTTTTTATCTTTCTTATTATAGAGTTAACGTAAATTATGGAAATTCCATTGTATATGTAATTATAACTTTAAAATATAGTGTTTTATTTAAATAAAGCATATGTTTTATTTAAAACTACCTTCCGCCCGCGACCTTGACCACATGATAGCATACCTAGTTCGATTTAAGGAATCTTACAGGAACCTAACCTTTTACCGGGATGAATAGTATTCTATGTCACAATCCAGCTAACAAAACTATATGTTTAAATCTAAAGAAAAGTTTACTAGAAAAAAAATCCACGCGGACCAGGCAGCGGACGGGACTCGAACCCGCACCTTTCGCAATCCGGGCGAATGCACTGACTTTAGATTTAAACATCTAGCAGTTAAATGCTTAAAAAATAAATAAAAACATAACTATAATTGCTATTTCTTCTTTCAAATGTTTAATACTTGAAAAAGTATTCATTTGGCTGGGTGGGTTACCTACAATGCGAAGAGATGGCGCTGCCTTGCTGCTTAAGGCTAGGAAAATTTCGACGCGGCGAATAGGGCCGTGGTAGCATAATGGTCAGTGCATTCGCCCGGATTGCGAAAGGTGCGGGTTCGAGTCCCGTCCGCTGCCTGGTCCGCGTGGATATTTTTCTAGTAAACTTTTCTTTAGATTTAAACATCTAGCAGTTAAATGCTTAAAAAATAAATAAAAACAAAACTATATGTGTGCAAATTTCATCGAAATCCGTTCAGCGATTTAGTTGTTACTTAATCAAACAAACAAACTTTCACACTTATAATATTACTAGCTCACGCAGCTGACTTCGTTCGCATTAACTTTAGTTTTTTGGGAATACTACATGAACCTAACATATTTTCGGAATAAAAAGTCCTATATAGTACAGTCAATCTGTCGAAAAAAATATCGTTTCAGTGAAAAAAAAACCTAAAGGGTAAGTCTTGTTTTTTCTGTTGCCAAATGACGTCAGTAAGCCACCTTGGCGATGGGCATGTTCAACTCGTAGGCGTTGTTTGAAAAACTCAAAAAAACCGTCAAAAATTTTTTGAAACGCATTTTTCTTGTTTTGTATGCGTTTTAGAAACTTTTTTTTCGACCATAATTGTAGAGGGCGTTGAGTGCTACAATTTATGTCATTGTTACAATCTCGTACAATAAAAAATGCGCATTGTAGGTGGCGCTAAAGTCTCAAAAACAGTGTTTTTTCACTTTTTCACCCTGAAAATATCATTTTAATGGAAAACTTTAAATGGCAAAGTTGTTTCGTACATAATAACCAACAACTTGTGTATAAACAATGTTTTACTTACCGTTTGAAAACGGTTTAATAACAATTATAACCGCAATTTATAACTTGAAAGTTATAAATTGCGCAGGTATGAAAATTCCAATAGAGCGGTTTTGGGCAGTTCAAGTACACATTTGCAGTGCACATTTCAATGTACGTTTTACTATTTTTTATTTTTTTTCATGATTGAAAAACAAAAAAATAATAAAAAAGAATAGATTTATTTTTATTTTTTTTCATTATTGAAAAAAAAAATAGTAAAAACGTACATTGAAATGTGCACTGCAAATGTGTACTTGAACTGCCCAAAACCGCTCTATTGGATTTTTCATACCTGCGCAATTTATAACTTGAAAACGGTAAGTAATACAAAAAAATTGTTTATACAAAAGTTGTTGGTAATTATGTACGAAACAACTTAGCCATTTAAAGTTTTCCATTAAAATGATATTTTCAGGGTGAAAAAGTGAAAAAACACTTTTTTGAGACTTTAGCGCCACCTAAAATGCGCATTTTTTGTTGTACGAGATTGCAACAACAACATAAATTGTAGTACTCAACGCCCTCTACAATTATGATCGAAAAAAAGTTTCTAAAATGCATACAAAACAAGAAAAATGCGTTTCAAAAAATTTTTGACGGTTTTTTTGAGTTTTTCAAAAAACGCCTACGAATTGAACATGCCCATCGCCAAGGTGGCTTACTGACGTCATTTGGCAACAGAAAAAACAAGACTTACCCTTTAGGTTTTTTTTTCACCACTCAACCTACAGATTGACTGTACTAATATGCATATCCCAATCCAGGTAACAGGAGGCCTACTCTAATTCAACGAAAAACGAAATTTCGATCGAAACTTCGTACTTTTCTTACTATTTTTCTAGTTCGTTTTTAATTATAATAATATTCGATGGCGGAGTATAGATTGAGGTGTAGATTTTCTTAGCCTACTCTAAGAAAGCTTTCATTTTGATAGTTTATCGTTCAAATTAAGTATAACCTTAAACAGACGAAATTAAATTTCGTTTGAACTTCGTTATCGAAAGTTCGTTTCGGAGAAAGAGAGTAGACCCCCTGGTCAGGTAAAACAGGTCGAATATCTGAAATCTACTTGGTCAGGGGCATGGCCACTCTGATTTGTCAGCTTAGCAAAAAGTTTCTAAGTAAATAGGTCGATTATATTAAATCTATTTGGCCATGGGCATGGACATCATATTTTTCCTGTTTAGCAAAGTTTTCTTTAGGCAGATAAGTTGAATATCTTTTTGTAAAACTGCGGCGCGAGCCAAGTAATAAAATATTACAGAAAAAGATATTTAAAGAAAATATAATTAGAAAGATTTCTACGCGGACCAGGCAGCAGATGGGAATCGAACCCGCACCCTTCGCAATCCGGGCGAATGCACTGACCGATTATGCTACCACGGCCCTCACAGACCGCGTCGAAATTATTCTAGCCATTCTTAAGCTGCAAGGCAGCGCCATCTCTTCGCATTATAGGTAACCCACAATGGTCCTGGTCCGCGTGGATTTTTTTCTAGTTATATTTTCTTTAGATTTAAACATCAAGCAGTTACATGCTTTAAAATAATAAAAATTATAACAAAATATATTTTATAGATAACTTGCTATCCTTATTTATCGTCGTAGAGATCGAATTTAAAAAAAAAAATAAACAGTTTATTTTGTTTCAGTTTAGTTTGTCTAAGCCAAGTTTCAAAGCTGAGAAGCTAGCGAAACTCGGTTTCAAAATATCACCCAATTCACGGTGGAATATTCAAAAATCCGTTCTCGTCTGTTATGTTCATTACAGTTTATTTCTTGCTTGTTAATCACTATATACATTCTATATTATATTTCTAAAATGTGTAAATAATTTGTTTTATAATTAGTTTTAGTACCGCCATCTATCGAGAAATTAAGCATTTCCTTATACGATTACGGCAGTGCTTTTGTAGCAAGACTAGCATATAAGCATGCGTGCTTTAAATTATTTTACCTTTAAAATTCCTTAGATGAAGCTTACGATCGCAAGTACATTTATGAAACTTGGTGTCTAAGCAATAAAGATTATTTTTGTTTGCGAATAATGTAACTTAAATTAAGTAGTATAGTTATTAATGTCTCATTTAAAGCGATTAGTTTAATAATATCTTTAAACATATGCTATTATTTATTTTTCGAAGCAATTTAAATATAAAATATATTAATTTTAGTTGAATTTTAACACAGGTGTTGTCTTTAAGACGTGCCTAGTCATGAAGGACTTTACGTGTATACATTTTTGTGGGTTTCACTTCTATCGCATGTGAACAGCATGCCCGTTTTTTTAACGATTCACAAGTGTGATTAATTTAATTGTTTTATTAGTTATATAAATAATCAATATAATCTGGACGTCTTCAAAGCCAGAGTGAACAGTCATCTTCTAGGCAGGCGTGTACCATCCTAGGCCTTTTCATCGCTTTCCATCAGGCGAGATTTTAGTCAAACGCCTTGCCTATTAAACATAAAAAAAGGAAAAGTATGAAAATAATAGGGAATATTAATTTGATAATGTTGCCTATATTTATTTCTTCTTCGGGGTATCACGCAGCCCTGCCATGGCAATGTATGGGTCTGAAGTTTGTTATGGGCAATAATATAAAAGTGTGCTCATTTTAATTAATTGAGTGCATTTCATTATCACAATTCCCACGTTAAACATGAAGACTGGTTGGGTGAGTAGATAAAAATAATGATTGTTAAAAATCAGATTTTCGTAAAACTAGAGAATGCATCGCGGCTATTGGCAGAAGATTTTTCAAGTATTATTCTGTGTGCGATTTGGGGGATCTTGTCCCCTGTGACTAAGGTTGCCACCCGTACTTTATTATAAAGTATTGTACGTTATTTCTGATAATTATACTCTATACTGTATGCTAACAACAAAGTACAAGAAAATACATTACTTAATGTGATTTGATTACTCGGGGATTCATTTTACATAAAATATACAAAAAGAGGTTAATATGAATATTTTTTGGGTAAAACAGACAGTCAGTATGAATATGGCGGACGCCCTTAGCTAATTCAACATTGCAACATATTCGTGACTGTATGGCTTTGTACCATGACCTTTCCCATTGCTGAAAAAAGAATTACAGATTTTTAGTAGGCACAAATTATTTAGTAGAAGTTGCTAGTTATTTAAGTAGCAACGTAAAATATATTTTTAAGCTTACTATAATAAAGTGGAATAAAAATTACTTTATTTTGGACACAATGTAATTTTTTTCTACCTTTAGGCGCTTTGCAGACGACGGGGAGGGGCGGGCCGGTCAATTTCGCCGCGAATAATAGCACAAAGTGAATTCTATACTTCAAACGCACACAGAGGGCAAAAAGACCGCGCCTTGGGTGCCCGGCGGGCAGTGGCGGCGCGGCATGTCCGCGGCTGCCCGCCGTGGATCATACAAACCAGTTTATATGCAGTAACGCAGGCGGCGGCGCGGGGCGGTCAGCTCAGTCCGCGCCACGCGCTTATTAGTGATGGACTATTCACTAGAACGAACGTCCTAAACTGACCGCCTCTGTCCGTCGTGTGCTTTGTGTACGCGGCGCGGGCAGCCGCAGACATCGACGGGCAGACGCGGTCTTTATTGCATCGCGGACAAAAAGCACGCCCCGCCCCGTCGTCTGCTAAGCGCCTTAACCAAATGTACTTTATTTCGACAA